TGAGGAATAGAGATGATTAGCCAGGAACTATAAAAGTAAGATGTCAGCTCTGCAGATGATTGTGCATTTAAGGAATCCAGACAATCACAGTTTAGGAGTTGCATGATTTCATTTTTTATCAGCTAAGACCCGTTCACACCTAGGCATTTTGTCGTGCGTAACTGTGCACACTGAAAAACTCTAGACATGAAATCCTATTTATTTGTATAGCCCCCGTCCACACCTGAGCATAGCGTCGCGTGTAGAAAAACACCTGTTGCTTCGAAAAAGTACATAAGCTTCTTTTTGGCAGATTACAGAGTGTTTTGTCCCCATAGACTCAATAGCAAACGCTTAGAAACATGCAACACAATTATTTTGCGCATTTTTTTGCATGTGTCATGCACATTTTCCCATTTACATCAATGTGTCACAATCTGCTGGCAAAAACGCACAACTTAATGTACTCTTGTAAACGCTCACAAAAATGTGGACAAAAAGGAGCAAAAATGTGCAGCGAACGCAGATACGTGCATAAACGCTGTGGCCTAGGTGTGAATGCCTGAAAGTACATATATTCAGAGAAATTTTAAAAAAATGGTTAAATGACCTAAGTTGGAAATTGATTTGATCACTACTGTACGCTTTGCTAATAACATTCAGTATGTTGTAATATGAGCAAGAGACTGAAGCGTAGAACACTACCAGCCTGGAATGCACTGACATAATTACAGTTACACTAGTAATAAACCCACAGGTAGAAATCTAATTATGCGTGACATAATAATGTTCAAACATGCTCTACTAATATTTCAAATCATTCTTTTACTTCTTTCAGTTAAACCTTTTTATCTAAAGTCAGCCGGGGGTCTCCTTCCGGCATGTTGTGCTGTCTCTTGCTGGTTCAGCTACAGGCTTGACAGCTCTCTTACATTCTACGTTCATACCAATGTAAGAGTACTGCAAAGAAGACGGGAGAACCAGACACTGAACTGTAGCACCACCATGCTATCAATCATTGCATTGCAAACTGAGATATGGCAGCCAACAATATTAAAGACTAGTACCATGGAGTAAACAGTGTTGATTAAATAGTACAATGGGTAGTCAGACAACACTGTAAGTGGCCTAAGGTGAAGTGAGCCCCTACTGAGATTATGGGCCTTAGGGTCCCATCACCTTAGTTAGGCTTGTCCGTATTACACGTCTTCCATCATAGTATCTTTTCCTGTAATGTATATGGGAGCAGGTAAGATTATCAAGGTATTAGGTAGCCAGGTGGCTAGGTAAGATCATCAAAGCCTACGCCTTATACACATTCTTCCTGAAACAAAATATGGATATATGTGGCTAGTACATTTTAAAAGAGGCTAGTCAGTGTCAGGTTAGGCTTTCTATTAACTCTGGTCCAAAGTGTCTTTGGTGTCTGTCACATGGGACTAGAATAGGTTATATTTGAACATTTGACGAGTCTTATTTTACTATAATTATAAAATGCCAGAAAATGACTGCATAGCATAACAAGACCTGTAAGGCCAGGGCAAATATTGAAGCAAGGTATGTGTAATGTCTTAACTTTTACTGCCTAAATTATGGCAGTCTTTGTTGGAAAATTATGAGCTCTATGCAAGATTTTGAGTACACTGCTGCCAGGAAAAAGCTAACAGCCTTGAAGATCTGGCCTGAATGCAGCAAAAACCAATTGTTACTTTCCATCTCATCTATGCCATTTGGGTGTACCACACGGAGCCCAAGTGGGTCTTTCTACTTTCAAAGAAAAAATTGGAGTCCATGAAAATCCACTGAGATTTCTCAGGATGTGGGCTAGATCTTCTAAAGCTTGCAAGTGTGCTTAGAGCCGGTAAATAGCCTGAAATTGCAAATACCAGCATGTGTATGGCTGGGTATAATCAAGACGCACTAAGATATAGAATGAAGAGGATGGAAAATAGAGTTTTTGATATCTAGACATGTTCACGTACAGTACGTGACCTCCATCTATTACTTTCATCACCCCCCAGTGGCCCCACACATCTCAAAGGTTATTTAAATTAGACAGAGTAGGCTTGCCTCTCCTAAGCCCAGTTTTGCTTCATATATCTAGTTCTTTCTATGGGTACATTCACAACAGGAAGTTTGGTGGCCATGTTGGATAGAAAATTGGCTGATTTCATGAGCTAAATGTACACAAATGGGAAATGTTGCCAGATGTAACACAGACACAGCTAATATAATACTGCTGTAGTAATAAAAGGTGTTTACAGGCACTAGGCCGTGGCTGGCTGTGCATGCTGCCAGGAAAAAGCTACCCAATGATCGTTGCTACAAACAATCTTTGTTCAAGCATGCAAGTCTGCATTAGCCGAACTTACATGTTGATATCAATAGTGAGGCACGAAGAAGCACAACAGCACTACCATCCCATCTGAACCATTCTCCCTATAACTATCTATAACTAACTACAAATCGCCAGATTGGGAAAATGTTACATAACAACTCATTGGCATCTTATAAAATGTACTGTTTCATTGAAATTGGCTTGATTGACACTTAGCAGTCTGAAGAAGTTAAAAGCATCCCGCAAATGCTCTCAGACCAGCAAATACCAAAGCTGCCAGATTACCAATCTTGGCCTAATCATCATTCTGAAACCGTCATTTAAGCAATATTTGAAATTACATTTGCCTAGTTCCATGCCTTAGTCTGCTGGTTTTTATACATACATTATTATAAAACAATTCTTACAGCTTTTACATTCTCCTCAGGATCAGGTTATCCACTAGGATATATATTTCAAGACCTCACTTGTCCTATAACGTGCAGATAATTCCGTCTCTGAGCTCCATCTTATCCTGGATTTAGTGTTCAGATTTGAGTGATACTGTCTGACAGTTCCTGCATTTATCCCACACAACGCCTTACAATATAATACAGCCCACATCATGTAGACACTGGTCTAAGGGGATAAAAAAATTAAAGGGGATAAAAAAATAAATAGATCAGGGGAACAGTAAGGGGATAAGTTACAGAGATAATAATGGTCAAATATTTTTTAAATTAATTAATTAGCTCCTTAATTAGCATTTAGCATTCTTTAATTGCACATTTGCAATTTTACAGGTACTAAGATCTTGCTTTTAAAACCCTGATGTTGAAGAAGTATTTGTATTTTTAGATTTTTTTTGCTTTATTAGTTATTTGTTTTTTTGATCTTTTGTATATTTATTCAATAATATGTATTAAATAGGTTTATTTTGTATGCAGCCCATACTGCAGCATGTTTTCTATATACCATTCTATGTTCTATTCTACAAAACGTTCACATAGAAAGTTTAAAATATAAGAATGAGAAGATAGGAAAGTAGTATGAGCAGATGAAAAATATATTTCAGCATATGTCTGTGATTATGTCTATTGGGAATGGAAAGTTTTATACTTTCTTTACAGCAATTCATTGAGAGTGTTCCAAATGCATCCCTGTATTCTAACAGTGACAGTTTAAGTGCATTGCATTTGCAGTATATTTTGTCTTTTCTGTAAATAGCATATTTCATGAGCTTTTTATTATTATTATTGTTATTATTATATATGGCACAGTATTATATTTAATGATTATTGCCATATTTTGAAAATTTTGAACTGTTAGGGCCCAATCTCTACAGCAGGGGATAGATTTGCAGCTTACATATCTGTCATTTTGCAGCAACAACAAGCCCCATAATGCCTTCTGATAGAAAAGCAGAGCTTAGGTCCCAAATGCACTGTAGCATGCTGGTAACTAGTAGTTGTTGCTGGGCTTGTAGTCCTTCCACACCTGGAGAACCAAAGCCTTTCTATACATGCTATAGAGGAATTGTAGTTTACAATCCGTCTTTCAATGAATGGTTAGAAGTTATGAGACTAGTACTTCCTACACAGCGCTAAGGTTTCTGCTGGACAAAATAAATAAGGTTTTAATGATATTCCAAATAATACTATCATAAGAAATATTGTATCAGAGAATACAAAACATAAAAATCCACATAGTCAGACAATGTTTTCCATTTTATCACACATATTTGGACATATATAGAATACACACAAAAGTTTTCACAGTTGGCTATATATGTAATTCTTTCCAGATCAGCCTTTACTCCAGGCTTAGGTTAAAATTTGGGGAATAAACTCAATATCACTATAGTATAATAATGTCCCTAGTATTAGTATGATTATTGACAGGAAAAGGGGGGTTAGAATCTGTGGCCAACATGCAAACAAACTGATGTAACACTACCCAAACAAAGATAAGCCTAGAATTATTCTAGTGTGCCAAAAATGAAACAAGAGCAGGTCTACTGGCATTCAGAAAATTGGACAAATACATTTCTATGCATGTATACAAATCTATTTCCAAAGGTTTCATTCACAACACACATTATTCTACAACTTCTTATCAGGTATTTAGAGTTTTCATAGCACAGTACTACAAAATGCTTAACTATATAGTGTATTGCTTCATCCCACGTCAGTTTTTCTATCAAAGTATACAGATAAAGCACAAAAAAAGCTGACTATTAAGCCTTTTAGTGAAGTGCCAATATTTCTTACTAATTTTAGCACTTTAGTTATCATTTGTGAGACTGGAATTTAGGAATAAACTCAGATATGTTTTGATTAACTTGCATATGCAGACCAATCAAACATTTAATGTGTGGCTGTTCAGTATAAGTCTATAAGGGACTTATGCATCACCTAGATAAATAAAGTAGGATGAGTGAGCGGTTATTTGTGACCTTTATTGCATGATTTTGACATTTGAGATTCTGGTCTGAAATAGGGAATTCCTTCACACAGCACAATCACCACATCGAGACACCGTTATCTAATGCTATAATGGTCTATAAGTAGGTGCAATATTATTCAGCAGCAGGTGAGTGGGAGATACAAACTGGGACAGGTTGTAGCACAGAAGGGTGACAGTAAATGAATCACACAAAGTGACAAAGTCCAGAGCACACAAGACAGACAGGAGTCTAACTTACTCTGTAACACTGTGGTCAGCTCTTCCTGTGTTCTCCCTTTTCACAAATCCCCATGCAAATCCTGGGCAAAGCCTGCTCTGCCCCTAACGTGCCAATCTGCCTGCCCTTGAGTCTACCAACTGCCCCTCTTTGCCGGCTGTGCCCTGGGTGCAGGGGTTAAATAGCGGGCCTGTGATCTCACACTTATCTCATTATGGGCTCTCCAATAGCTGCAGCCGGGGGAAAGATAGGGAGGGAGAGGGCAGAGGGCAGTGGAGAGGGAGGGGGTGCTGGAAAATTATTCACAGAGTGTTGGATCTGTCAGATCCACGGCTAAATCTCTCCAGTAAGGTAGCAGGAGAGGGGTGGAGGGGCAGAAAGTACGAGTTGAGGGAGTGTGGGACAGTCTGGCACTATCCTTGCCCATTCAACATGTAAGTTCTGCCCAGTAACAAGAATGATAGACAGATTTCATAGAAAGAATGCAGATGTCAAAAAGATGAGAGATAGCTAGATAGATAGCTAGATAGATAGATAGATAGATAGATAGATAGATAGATAGATAGATAGATAGATAGATAGATAGATAGATAGATAGACAGGCAGTGCCAGAGATAGATAGATAGATAGATAGATAGATAGATAGATAGATAGATAGATAGATAGATAGATAGATAGATAGATAGATAGATAGACAGGCAGTGCCAGAGATAGATAGATAGATAGATAGATAGATAGATAGATAGATAGATAGATAGATAGATAGATAGATAGATAGATAGATAGATAGACAGGCAGTGCCAGAGATAGATAGATAGATAGATAGATAGATAGATAGATAGATAGATAGATAGATAGATAGATAGATAGATAGATAGATAGATAGATAGACAGGCCATGCCAGAGATAGATAGATAGATAGATAGATAGATAGATAGATAGATAGATAGATAGATAGATAGATAGATAGATAGATAGATAGATACAAAAAAAATCAGACAGAGAGCTAGATTGGTAACAAAGCTTTTGCATTTGAAATGAGAAATATATGAGCTACTAAGAGAGTGACAGATTACTAGAAGATAGTGTGATATAGAAAGAGATAAGGCCAATGTGAGACAGTGGTTGATATACTAGATAGATATTATTCATACTCAGTTAAACAGATAAAAGCAGTAACATGCAAAAGGCAAAATAATATACACCCACAACATAAACATCACAGGAAAAAAATATTTAAGAAAACAACTGGATAGTGGCAAAAGATCTTGGAGCCTGTGTGTTGTACCTGTGGGCTCACCATGCAATACAGGTGGTTGCCTGTCACCTAGGGTTATAGATGTTAGTCTGTCACTGTGTAATAGTAGTTGGTTTGTCACTGTGTGTGAATCCATCTCTAATCCCCTTGTCACAGTGTGTTAGTGACAAGCTTTGCTTCTATTGTTGTGTTAGTATGGTTATACTCGGGTCAAACCGACTACCCCCCCAGCACCACCATGATGTAATGGTGCCTGTCCTCTTCCCTCCCCATGCTGCACCTCATTCTCCGGATAATTAGCAGAATGAAGTGTTAAAGGGATTAGACAAAACAATCCTTTAAAGAGAGATGGGATTAAACACACGCACTGACACACAGACAGCGTGTATATACAGCGAGAGGGGGCAGAGTGAGAGAGACACAGAGCCGGAGCAAGACAGAGGCACAAGGGAAGGTCTGGGGCACAGTGACAGACATCTATTACAAGGTAGAAATGGTCAGGTAAAAGATGTGTAGGCAGTTTAGAACATATAACGGTGGTCATAAGCAGTTCATGTTTTCATTGGTTACTACAAATATCGGTAGTGTCAATTGAAAACCAGAGACCTGCATTTCTTGGTTCAATCACAACTTGTAAAAGAACACTGTCTAACATCAAAATAGCCATGTGAAAGCCTCAGATCGAAGCTACAACTCTTTGACAACATCCTTAAAAGTCTCTCCATCAGTCATGACAATCTTGATATACTGTCATGATATTCTGTCCCAATCCTAGGTATAAGCAGAGCAGTGAGAACAGTAATCTCACTATCCCTAACTCAACTGTGGCTTCCTTGGACCTCCCATATCAAGCTTTTTTCACATATGTATAGCAAATGCTCTCAAGATGTTGACAGACCTAAATTGACAGCCACCTGATAAGCACAAGCGGCAACTTCCCCACTGTACATTTAGCCCTGCTTGCCCAAAGCAGGGCTAAATGTAGAAAACAACTACCCACCCGGTGCCCGGAACTGCATGTCCCAGGCGTCGGGAGATAGGAATTCCACACCCCTGCTGCCCCGAGGCCGGGCCTCAGTTGGACTTGTGGGAAATCCAGCCCCGGTGACAACTGTCTAAGAGGAGATTTCCCTCACTTTGCAGATATTTCCTTTTACTTATCTATGGGACAGAAAATAAAGGGAAATCTTCCCAATGGGATACAGATGGCAAAAACCTACTGGGTAATTAACCCTCCCCTACTCTATCCAAAGCTAAAAAAAACAATTGGGCTTTAGGTATACTGTAACGCTTAACCTAGCCCTAAAAAAAAAACCTTGCCTTACTGTGCACACAAAGTGTCAGCACTGGATGATATCAGTCCAGTGCAAAAAAAACTACAGTGCCCACCTCCTAGCACTGAACTAAGCTGTTTCAGAAATATTGATTTTGACAATTAACTCTCTTTAGAGATATTACTCTAAACTGGATATGAATATGTATCATTGAATGTGTTATTTAAAAAAATAATAATACAAGAGCTAATAGAGAATGGGGCAGTAGGGACTGTTCACTTTTTTTTTTAATGAATTTCCCTTGCAAATGATTAGGTATTTAACGTATACTCAAGTTCACCTTATTTATTAACATTTACTTTCCAAAGTGCACTTCACTTTGCTAGATGACCAGCTCTCTACTCTTTTAGTAAAGCAAACCCATTTCTGTTACATTGGGTGCCTTGACTGATATGGCTCAACCACCTGATGAGACAGTAAACAGTTTTGGAACCTCACAATCACATGACCCACTAATAACACAATGGAATTCTTTTCATGCATCACAGTTTTAAAAAGCCCATTTCCAGGATAATTTCCACCTCCCTCCTACCTCCTCTAACTGCTCACTATATGAAAAAAAAACCTACCTAATAGCCCTTTTTAATCATTTAAAGCCTTGGTCATGTGTCGTTCAGGTGACCCCAACTCTTCTCTCTTCCTTTGTTTAGTTCCTGCAGGGTCCTTCTTTGGGTGTCCACGTCATTGCCTGCCTGACGTGGACACTTCCTATTGGCTGTCCAGTGCCATTGTCCTCTTAGGATCCAAAAAGACGAGTAATGTCATTGCAAGGGAATGATAGGGGACTAGCCAGAGAGGGACCATTTGCAGAGCCAGATTAGCGGCCCTCTGAATGGTGACAGTGAGGGGCGTGAACAGGGGACTTAGATGCGTATAACTTGCTTCAGCATGTAAGACAAAAAAAATCTTGTGGTATGGGTTAGGGGGGTGGGAGCAAAATTTTCCCAGAATAGGGCTCTGTTTCTAATGATTGTGATAAGAATGTACACCTTAAACAACATTTATAAGCAAGTAATGGATAAAACATATCCCAAGAGTGTTCTGCCTAATTTGACTGTGTATGGTGTTCAAATATGATTTTAGTATGAACTTTTTTCACTTTAAAATGGTTTTAGAAATTGGAAGGCAAAAGACATGTGGGTTGAGCACACAGGAATTTACTGGACATATATGCTCATGTCATAATGTACAATGGCAATTCCACTTTGTAGCATGGGCATGGGCAATTATATGTGCATACCTCCATGATCCACAGAGACAGCACAGTTTAGTGGGTCATAAACCAATATAAAGTGTACTTCATAAACAGAGGTGGAAAATTTACTGCGCTGTATACATGAGGAGCGTGCACAATCAGGATTACGTGAGGCAGATATGGAATTTCCAGGGTTAACATGCTAGTGCAGTTGAATAGAAAATGTACATGGTGATCCTATTAACATACTCAAACCTTACTCAGGTGTAGAATATATTATTTTCTGCACTTTTCTGATTGAATCTGATGATGACAAGCAGAGTAATCCTGATTTTGATAGACTGTTGGCACAGCAGATCAATATCCTGGTAGTTTTAAGCCATGTTCATTCCATATTTTATAAGTCCGGATGGCCATGTAATATCTATGACTGTAAAGTGGATCTGATTTGTACATCCAGGTAGTCTTCTTTAACATTTTCCCAAAGCTTTTTTACCTTCTTCAATTTTCTTGGTTCCATACTCATCATACCTTGTGAAGATTGAGATTCACATAATAGTACAGTAGCTGTACTGGAGATCCAATGTGCTTGGCTAGTTGCCAAGTGCAGTAAAGTGCTAAGTTAACATTTTCAGTGGACCCAACAAACCTGGGGTCATTTCTAGCCCCCAAGTAAGCCACCATGAGCTCTCAAGTTCAAGAGGTCAGGAAACCATTTACTTAATTCTGGTGGCCAACTGTGTTTTCAGGTATGAGCAATAATTCCACAGCATACACACGGCACTTCAGATCAGATGACACTACAATGCATAGGAGTGAGGCCAACCTCAAGTTTTGTAGCATAAGGGCTTGTTCATGCCAGCAGCCATGCTTAACCGCACGGCTGCTGGTGTGCATGCGCCCGAAGAGTGCCGATGCACTCAATTGAGCCGCATCGCTTGGTTTCTTTTGTTTTTGTTAGAACTTTATTGAAATGGCACAAGTGACAAGTTCTATGGGCTCACCGTGGTGCGATGCAGTTGTACCACATCTCACTGCGGTGCACTTAAAAGAAGTACTGCATGCCCTACTTTTTAAGCGCACACCATCAGAAGGCAGTGATGTGAACTGTCACCATCCATGACAAGGCATACCTTCAAATTTAAATGTTTCACAAAAAAGGCACAGTTTAAAATGTACAAATATGTTTTATTTATTACATCAATATAGTTTTATTTTTCATTTTTAGTATGACATTTTGTAAAGCTGGTCATACACTATTAGATTGCTCTAAAAAATTCCCTTATCAATGCTAAACAACATTGATGGACAAATTTCCCCCCTGCAGCTATTGGTGAACAGTGATGGCAGATAATTATTATTATTATTCAGGATTTATATAGCGCCAACAGTTTGT